TCAGGGCAAACAAAAAGTGAAGCTGTAACGGCGATGGTACGGCTCTCCTCTTACTCCGACACGATGGGCTTTCCAGAAACACCCATTCCTGGCCCTGGACCTCTCCCCGCTCTGATCACCATGGCAACAAAGCCCAGAGGGGGGGGACATCCGCACGAAAAAGATTGGCCATCATTTGTCTCAACTTACACTGGCAGGCACACACACACACACACACATTAACACCTACCCAACTGTGACAAAAACACACAAATTGCAGTTATTAGAAACAGATTTTTACACCATATCTGGTATGAAACACAGACAGTCGAGGCAGTTACCTGCAGGCTGTGGTCTTAACTTTTAGGAGACCAGAACCCTTCAGTATAAGATGCAAAGGTGTCTGCTGACTAAAGAGCGTCTGTGGTAACAATCAATGGTAACTGCTGACAAAGGAAAGGAAGTCAGGGCAATTCTTGTTTGCTGACATAGTGGAGCAGGCAGAAACGAGAGGAGAGGTTTATGGAAGACTGTCGAGTAAAGCTTTCTTTGATCCTTTGCTTTCCCTAATCACTGAGTTTCCCATTTAAAAACGTCTCTTCCTTTTGGCATTCTTCCACTAGACACAGGCTACCCGCTGAAGTGAACAGACCAACAACTTAGATTTAGTTTTTAGCTTTTAGTCTCGATTTATCAACAAAATCTGTTTTTCTCGATTGAGTAATACTGAAGATACTTGATGGTTGGACACAAGCAACTGATTAAGCTTCGACAACTGACCTCGGGTCACGGAGAGACACGCGGGAGGATTCAAGTCACAACACAACAGCCAATGTAGAAAGTGTGGACACAACTCAAGCCCGCTTATTCAACACAACTCCACATCGCTGTCGATCAGGTCGCTTTGCATCGCTTGCTTCGCAGTGAGCGCTGTTCGAGAGGCCCCCCCCCCCCCCCCCCTCCTACCACCCCCCCTGCCCTCCTCCCCATTGTACTAAATGTGCTTCAGAACAGCAGAGTTAACGGTGAACGAACCTCAGTGATTAAAGCAACAGTAATAACCGTTGTAAAAGCGAGTGAACAAATGTCACGACGCCCCTGAAGACCGCAGACGTATAAAGAGCCACATGGGCTGAAAGTGGCGGTGGACTCGCTTGGGGGGAAGCCAGCTTTTCTCCTCCTCTGTGTGTGTGTGTGTGTGTGTGTGTGTGGAGAATTCTTTCTAAACAAGGTATGGAATGCACTCCTGTGTTTCCTAATTTGTTCCCTCATTCTTCTCCTCTGCACGTTTACAAACAGAGCCCCAGAGGAAGAGGAGGGAAGGGAAGCGGGGGATAGACGGAGAGAAAGGGTCACGGGGGGAGACCTGGAAATATGTCGGGGCAAAGCGGAGAGGAGAGGAGACGGTGAAATGAAAAGGGGAGAAGACGTGATTAATTACTGGCTGACCGGCTGCATGCGGACCAGTCCGAGGGGGAGAGGCACAGCTGGGGGAGAGAGTCAAGGGGGAGGGGGAGGATGAGAGAAATGAAAATGCCCCAGGAATGATCCTTAATGCCTCACTAGGTGCTCACATTCCAAGCCGGCAAATCATGCGACGGCCCAAAAGTCATTTCTTCATTCAGCTGGTACACTGGGAGCACTGGGGGTTTTTTTTTTATCACTGTTTCTGTAATTTTATCTTTATCACGACTGAGCGAGAAACATCATGGAGGAGATCTGTTGCACAGGGGAGAGGAGGCGGGCGGCCGGGTGGGTGGGAGGGAGGGCGAGGGCAGATGACGAGGGTGGGCTGGAGTGAAAAGTTTAAAAATATCTCAGACTGCCAAACACAAGGCAGGGCCGCAGCAGGCCAGCAGCATACCTTCAATTTCAGCTATTTCTGTTGCTCTTTCCATAATGTCTGAAGTCGGCCTTATAAGCGAACGACAAAAACGGAGACATAAAAAGACACGTCGGTTTCTGTCATGGCAATTTTTCCCTCGCGTTTGCCAACGAGGCTGCTTTGTGTCAAGAGCACGCTGGACTTTTATCCAAATTATTCATAGGTCATAGCTCATAGATCAAACCCCTGAAAGTGAGCAGGACATTGAGCCCCAGCACCTCCAGAGGCCGTTACAGCGTCACCCACTCAGGTCTGTGGAGGAGGACGAGGGGACAAAAAAACCAAGGACCAAGTATTTTATTAGAATCCTCTCGGGAAAAGGCAGGTTTGAAATTGCAACATGACCAAGCAGCTGAAAAGTACAAAAGGTGTTCTTAACAACAAGAGCAGTTATGCAGTTTAGTAACAGAGGAATGATGTATTGTATGTTGTAGATGTTGGTTAATACGATGTATCCCGTTGCCAATGGTGCATGAAGATGTATTTCTGTCTGCATGCGTCTGTGCACTGGATGAACACATGGAATGGGAAACACTTTTTTAAGGTAGTTCCATTCAATATCCAACTCTTTTTTTGGAACATGCATAGCAGAAAATAGCATTTTCCTTCTTAACAGGAACTTAACAAGAGAAGAGAATAAAGTGATATGAGCGAAGGTGAGTGACGGAACGAGTAATGGATATTTTGGGTCCATAAATAGACAAGTTTCTTTAGTTGCTATGCAGCAAAGTGTGTTCAACCTAAACTCCCAGACGGATGTAACTTAACTTACTGGGAAAAATGCCACAGGTCAGAGACATGTTGAGAAGAAAGACATAACTGGAGATATTTATATATGCATGAGAAAAGGATGACAGTGAAAGAAGTCTATAAGCCTGTAACCAGCTAATCAGAGCTTCTTGTGGAGCTAAACCAACATTCCCAGGGAAGCCAGACATATTTAACATACACTACATTTACAATACACTCAGTGTGTTTATGTTACAACAACATATTATTGTAACTAATTTCTTTCAATGCAGTTTTAAAATTGTTGCAAATGTTTGCCAAATCATTTTAAAAATACACGTTATAAATACATGTATGTCTGATTCAGTTATATGTTTTCCTCATAAAATGTATTCTCAAAGGCATTCTGAAGAATATGCCTCCTTTAGGTCTTACCTCTGTTGATGTCAGATTTACGTAAGTGTGCATCCCTAATACCATTACGTGTGTAGGAGGCTGCGCTGCAGTAAAGATGGGATGTAGAAATGATATTGTTGGCGCTGCGGTGAAATGGCATGTTTAACATTGCGCTTTATAAATAAAAACTTAAAATAAGAATTTGAAACTTGTTCCTTGTTCCTAAAAAGGTAATACACATGTATTAAAAGCCTCAATGTATATCTCAAATATCTGATATTAAATGCTCTATTCCACCTTTCCCTCACGCAATACACACATTTCTCAAAGTTGATCACACATAAGAGCTGAAAAGAGTCTCTTTTATTACATCCATCTCTCATCTTCCCATCTTTCTGGGCTTCTCCATCCTATTGAGTACCGCTCGGATCCATAATCCCACCTCTCCTCTTCCCCCTGCACTCATGTTTATCTATTGTCATATAATCCCTGCACACATTTACGCATCACCCTGCTTAGCTAAGGACTCCGTACCGTTCTCGTGGTTTCATTAGGCATTGATTAGGAAGTGGAAAAAAAAATATGTTGCCAAGGTAAACTTAATAAGGCCACAGAAAGGCATCGATTTGCCTGTTTTTCTGACGCACTGCAGTCCCCTTTCTGCATTCAAGTGACGGACATCATGGGCTAGTCGTTCACCTCGGCTGAAAGCAGCTGAAATAAGTTTAGTCGTTTATTCGCCGATAGCGCGTGTTGATCTGAGCGAGTGTGTGAATGGAGGCGCCTGACAGACGCACACATGGTGTGGCAAACTGGCACACTGAGCACGCAGGTGTTCTTATGCCTCAGTAGGGAATGAATCATGCAGTAAATGATCATTTCCTCTTTTCCTTCACGAAGGATGTAACTACGTCATAAACCGCTTTGTCTCGTACAATTACCTAAGACAGCCTGTCGCTGAGACGAAATCGACTAAATCAGATGTGAGTCACATTAGAAAGCCGTGTATTTTGACTGCATTTATCTCAGCTGAAAAACCTGTCCGCTATTGTTTTATTTTGAAAAAACAACTAGCGTGGATTCAAACAGAGACATTATTTAAAGCGGTGACGTGCTTGACCAGCGGGGACATTGTCTCGCGACCGCCAGCGCTGAGGACCTTGGCTTGTGGGTTCAAACCTGCATTGTTCAGTGTTTTTCCTGTAAACACCACAACAGGAAATACAGGGTCCTCGATGACAGTTTAGTTTTAAACACATAAAATTAGTTTGAAAAGTCTGTGTCTCAAGTGAAAAGTCAGAGAAGAGACCCTATAGTAAAAAAGAGGAAGCACTATTAAAAAAAGTCCTGACCGGTTTCCACCCGAATGCGTGCGAATTATTGAAACTGCTTCAGTGTTGCCGAGGGCCGTGTGTGAGCTCCCAGTGGGGCCAAACCAGTGGTGGCGACATACAAACGTACTTAACACGCTCTATGAAGAGGTTTCAAAGAGCTTCACATAAAGAGGAGACTGTAGTTTTATAATGAGGTTTCTCCAGAGGGGGTCCACCTCTCATATTTCATCCGCTGCGATTGTAAAATCAGATCAAGTGGTGATTCTAAGTGTGTGTGTGTGTGTGTGCGTGTTTGTGTCTATTTGCTATAAGAGCATGGTCGAGCTGCAGTGAGGAGCTTCGGGCTATGGAAAGGGGAGAATATCCATTACATAAGAGATTAAACTGGAGGAATCTGAGGTATGTATCCTGACAACGCTGGCCAGTAGTATGAAAAGCCCCCCCAGCCCCACGTGCAGGGCCTCAGCAGGTAGATCCACTGTTCCCTTTGAAGTAGCTTAGTGAAAACACACAGCGTGGTACCGTTGCATAAACTCATATTGAGCTTTCGCTCTTACTGTTTTAACTTTGCTTCCGAGGCTCTGTGACAGGAGGCCATGAGTGTGTGAGTGTGTGTGTGTGTGTGTGTGCGGACAGACTTGATTTGTAACGTTTTCCTGCTCTCAGATACATGTTACCTTGGGTTGTCTTGAGTTTTGTGTGACCTTTGGCCGTGTTGCAGCAACATAATGCCGCCTGCTGCTGTTGTGATTCTTTTGGCCTGCTGCTGAGAGATAGATAAGATAGAGATATGGATTCAGGGGGCGAGATCACCGCTGGTTACTGCAGCTCCCGCTGTGGGTTTCATCCGTCCACGTGCTGCACATACCCGACTGACACACGCTCATCATAACGAGGACGGTGACTTTCCAAATCACACACTGTCTCTCTCGCTTGCTCTCTATTTTTAATGGAACAATGTATGATGCCTGTCCTCTTCTCTTATTCTCGCTGCAGGAAGGGCTTAATTTCCTCGCCTGCTCTGTATGTGACACACATCTGTTGCTTCAGCTGGAGGCGGAGAGAGCCGGCAGAAGGTTTGGAGCTTACACTTAAACCATTAGCATACGCTTGCAGGAATGGAGGGGGAGATAAGGGAGCTGTGGGTGGATGCGTAAGAAAAGGTGCAGGAAAAGAGCAGCGAGTGAATGTGCTGGTATTAAGTGCAGGAGAGTCACATTAAGCACATGATTAAGGTACAGCACAACGTCAAAAAGTGAGAATCCAAATTCGAGCCGGTGTGTTTTCATTGGTGTGTGTGACCACTGACCTCTGACTCGGGCATAGCAGCAGCCACACTTGACGAGGACTTTTCGGAACAAGTGTTGGCAGCCGCAGCCTCGGTGGTGGCGATGGTGATGGTGGCCCCCTTTCATGCTGCTGAACCATGAGCAGAGGTGGGCATGGCCCGGCACACTATCTTTCTCTCTCTCTCCCCCCTCCCCCCTTCTCCCTCCTGTCTCTCAAGTCTCGCTCTCGCAGCCTCACGCGTAGATGGTTGACTCCTTCGAAGTGTAAATCCACAAAGTCGTCGGTCACGCTTCCTCCTCAGTTGACCGCCGACAGACTTAAAGTCCACATCCAGACCGAGAGGAGGAGAAAGAGTCCACAAAAGCAGCAGCAGCCAAGAAGGGAATCCAAGCTCACTGGGAGGGGGGGTTTCAGATGGTGATAATCAGCCAAGGAAACATTCCAGCGAGCTTATCGTTATATTGGATGTGCTGCCCTTCTTTCTGTCTCTCTTTTTTTCCCCTCGGTTTTCTTTTTGGAGCTGAGCTCTCCCCTCTGTGAACTGCCTGGTCAAATGACAGACTGGGAGACTGTTTCAGAGGGGGAGACAGAGAGAGGGAGAGAGAGAGGGAGTAAGGGGAGGGGTGAGAAGGGTGGAGTCTGCAGCTCCAGTTGCTGCTCTTCCAGGATAAGGTTCCCACTCCCCTTATTTTCTCTCTCACTGTCCTCGGTTTCTCTTCCCTGCGTGTCCACTGTCCCAACCATCCAACCCCCGAGACCAGACAGCGTGCCTCCCTCTCTGCTGGAAATAGTCACTGTGTAAGGATACATGAAGCTATTCAGGGAGCGGGGGCCATGTTGGGTTGGAGGTGTCATGTGTTTCCCAGTAATTCGGCCATAAGTGTGTTGAACAGAGATCATAGTGGGCTTTCCTCACTGGGGCGGCTTCAATATGGACTCGCATAGTGAGGGTTTCTTTTTTCTTCTTTCTTTTTGTTTCCATGGAGTCTCAAATTTCACAATGCCAGCAGGTCGTCATTCTGCGTGCTCGTGCGTGTGCCCTCACATGCCCTCACATGCAACATTTAACCATCATTTTGCCTGACAAATACAGTATTTTTTTACCTTTATTATTACAGTATTTTTTCATTTTTAGGCAAAATGCCTACTGTATGCTGATTTATCTTTTTTTATTAGATTACATTATGACATTTAATGTCAAATATATATATATATATTCTTATACATCTTAAAATTGTCAAATTTATGGAAATTGAATTTGAAAACCATTCGTCACTAAAACAATGGTATAGTAATATCAGTCTTTTGCATGTGAATCAAGAAACTTCTTCCTATTGATGCATAACTCTGTAAACCCTTTAGTAGGACAACGCAGGCCTGTTCAATATAGTATCTAAGGGTACACCAGTATCAAAAGAGAAGCAGCTGGGAGAAGAGATCGAATGGCATGGGTGTGAGTCTGAAATCACAGGACCGTATCTGTGCGCACACAAACACACAGACACACACACACACAACCTGTCGTCTTCATAAAGCCGTGATCGTGTCGAAGCCGGAAGCTGCTGACGTTGTGTAATTCCGAACGCAGCAACATACCATTTAAATGTGTACTTTACATCCCAGCACATTTATTTTATTCAACGCTACATGATGACACACAGTCAGATGATGTTGTCAGCATAGGACACAACTCAAGACACAACTGACCGAGATGAAAAAGGTCGTCGGTGATGAAACACTGCACATTCAGAGACCCAACCAATCCATCCCCTGGATGAGACGCATCTCCTCTTCAGCCCGAAGCTGCTGAGTTTGTGACTCAGTTTGTGTCATCGCACATCTGCAGCGAGCATCGCGCCACGCTTCTCTCGCACAGGCTACCATCCCAAATCACCGCGCGGTTACTGCGAGAAGGCGCCCGCCCATGGCTCCCTCTTTGGCGGCACTGGCGGGAAACAAGAGCAGGCAGAGTAGCGGCTGGCACTTCACCGACACGCACGCATACGCACATGCACTGCCAGGCGCATCCCTGAAGTAGGCAGTGCCGTCTCTCGGGTCAGCCGGTCTCCAGGGTGACAGGGCGCTGGCCGATTGCTGCCAGGACGTTTCTGTCACCTGCCGGAGACGGAGGGAACAGAGGGGGCATGGCTGCCCTCACTCGCACAACGCTGACTGAAGCAACTGTACCATGTAGAAATAAATGTTCTCACAAGTGAGAGTGAAACCCACTTTGGATAGATGTATCATATATTCCACATATATTTCCACACGCAACACTCTGCAGTGATATTGATGGATCACAATCCCCCACTTCCTCCTGCCGGCCTCCCTCCATCACTGCCTTTCTATCGCTCATAATGGATGCTTTAAGCGACTGTGATTGCAGGGGCAATTCACCAGTGGAATATTGAACAGCACTGACTGAATGTCTGCACTTGTCTGACGCTGATACGGCTGCCCAACGCGGCCGGGGTATAGGAGCGCGGTTCAAAGCGGGTTACGAAACAATGGACCTGACAGCGGAACAGAGGGATTAAAAGAAGCAAGAGAAGGAAGCCGAGGGCGAAGCATTACAAACGGCGGGGAACGCTGCCTGCGCTTTACACAAACGCACACTATCCGGCGGAGAGATAACGAAGAACACACTGCTCTGGGGATGAATTTGATATTCATGAAGGGAAATCTTTATATGCCAGAGTTTCTGCACCCAGTAGGAAGCATTTCTACTTGTTGCATAACGTTGATTGGTGGGTTCACTCACTTGGAAGAGCCTCTACAGATCGCCAAAGGCGTGCACGTTTTGTTTCACATCTACGTTTGTAGATCAATATTTCTGCAATTAAAAAAATGTTTTAAAAAAACGGACCGTTATCAAAAATATGGGAAAAATGTTCCTCCCGTGCCTTGCACAGGGCGGAGGGGGATGTGAGGTGAGGTGTGCATCTCTCTCTCTTTACTCTCTCTGCGAACACAACACACTTTAAAGGCATGCTAAAGATAAGCTCATTGGTAGATGGATGTGCGCTTTTAAGTTGTCTTTCCGCTCAGTGTGGGAGACAGTCAGTCACATTCAGGAGGCGTGTTCAGAGAGGAATTTTGAGTAAGATGTATGAATCAGCATTGCGTAAACGAACAAGATGAATTTCTTCATGTTCTTCTGTAGGGACATTTCTGTCATACAGATGTTGCAAACACAGCACATCCCAATGTGCACAATAATGCACACAAACATGAACTGCAGAAGGGAAATACACCAATTTGATGTTGCAAAACATGTATAGTAATAGCTAGAGCCAGCCTCGGTTCAGCTTCTTTGCAGTCGGTCTCCCCCCCCCTCTGACATTAGCCTCTCCCCACCCCGTCAGCCTGCTGAAATCCTGCCAAAATATGCTTCACTTAGATTTTCCTTCCTCCCTCTGCCTCGCTTTTTTCCTCCCTTAGTTCCTTGCTCGTTTTCTCCCTCCCGTTGTCTCTCTCAGCTGAGCGCCAATTAAGGCAAACTGGCATTCTGGACAAGTGTGAGGGGGGTGGGGGGGGCGTTTTGGCCTTTTGGCCGAGGTCCCATCATGGAGAAGAAGTCAAAGAGTACTGCAGATGTCCTGTTCTCTTCTGTGCTGCTGTTTTATTCTACTCAGACTAGACAACACGGCCGGCATCCTCCAGGGACACCGACTGGTGGCTTGCTCTGTGTTTGTGCGCCATTTGTTGACCGTTCGTACCCCTCCGTGCCTCACCAAGCAGTGAGCAGGAGCTCTGCACTACACAAAGGGGAGGCGCGCCACCCGTGGAGACTTGTTTTTCTTTAAAAAAAAAAAAAATGACCCTACTCACGTACAGGGCAAAATTAGAAGCACAAAGACACACTTTGTACATTGACACAAACACATACTCCTTTTCCCATCCAGCTCCTTCCCTACCTGACCCTGAGTCTCCCTCCCTCTCTTTGTCCCGGTGAACCTTGCTCTAGAAGCAGCAACGCTGGCACTGACACGCCGGGACCGCTGCTCACTGTGTTCAAGGCTCAGGCCTGAGCTAAAACAGCACCCAAAGGAGGAAAATGTTAATTAAACAAAAGCAAAGCGAGGGACCACACATGGAGAGACGCCGCTGCTTTTTCCATTAATAACGACTTAGACCGGAGGGTTTTCTGTCAAGGGAAAGAGATTTTCGGTTGGATAAAGATCATTAAAGATAGAGTTTCCTAAAAATGAAAATAAAGTCATAATCATGCTGTAAATCTCTTAAAAACGGGCAAACCATGAAAGTCGGGAATCAGCTTTTCTCATTCCTGTGGAGTGTGTGTGCCTTGTATGGGGCCACGTTCTGCTGGTGAGGAACCTGTGGTTCTAAGCCCTTGAAAGTTGATTCAAAGGGGCTGGTGCTTGTAGTGATGAAACAGCAGTCAATCATCTCCCAAATCTGCTTTACAGCTTGTGTCACTCTCCAGTTCATCGAGACCACTCTCAAAGTGTCCTTCTAGTGCACAACAGTCAGCTGCATTCAACAAAAAGAGTTCTGCTAAGCACACACACAAAGTTATAGCACATATGTCCCTCATGTGCTGGTAGGGACCAGGAACAGAGCTAAGACAAAGTCAATATTGTTCTTGCATCTGCTTATTGTTTACAAACACAACTCCAGATGATTGTTAATGTGGCTCTGTGCGCTGGAAGTAAATAAATAGCTGTTTTTCCCCCCAAGTGGCCAAAAAGGTTGTTGCGCCTCAACAACAACAACAGTTTATAAACTTGATCAGCGTTAGTCCACAGATACGTGAGGTAGATGGACATTATTTCACAAGATTACTCAGAAACAGACCTGTAGGTCAAAGAATCAGTTCTGTTCTCTGACCAACGTTTGCAGCACTGGCAGAGCTTTTTGAATATGTATGACGACAACAAGACAACAATATGACAACATGGTCATGTTGAACAACGTTTGGTATCTATACGCTACAGGAGGGAAATATTTGCTATTTATGCAAGTAGGACTAATTCTATTTTCTGATTCAGATTGAATCTAGAAGTTATCAAACACAGTATATACACATGATGTGTGTAAATAAACACAATTACACCATCCACCATTGTGAGGTAATGCAATCTGTTTCTGGCTTTTACAACCCAATATGATGCAGCTTCAGGTCGATCTCTGCCCATTTAAGGTCAGACACGCAGCGTTCAGTCCCGGCGTCCTCTGGGATCAGCACGTTGGATGGCACACGCTCCCAGCCTCTCCTTATGGACAAGGGCCTGCATCTTCTACATGGTTTAAATATTATAACTCATCTACATGAATGTATCAAATTACCCTCCAGCTCATTAGCATTTTTTATGGGTATTGATTTTCATCAGAAGACTACTCAACATGTTCATTTGGGATCCTTAGTATTTCCGATCCTTTAGACGTTTTGTGGTTTTATTTATTTATTTATAGACTGTGGAACAGTACGGTGTCAGTTTTCCTCATCATTTTCATATTTATTTCTGTCAAAAAACTGTTAGAACTTTTGCTATTGTAGGTATGTCTTGGGTGCAAATTAGCACAAAGTTAAATGATGTGCATAGTTTAATTGTCGCT